GTGTGTGTGTGTGTGTGTGTGTGTGTGTGTGTGTGTGTGTGTGTGTGGGCGACGCCACATGATCCACTTCAGACACGGAGGTCATCACAATGCTTTTTCCTTTCTTAAATTATTGTTTTCCCACACGGAACCTTCTTGTCTAATTGTCTTTAATTCTCTTCTATCAGCTGAACACTATCGACTGCTCTGTGCTAATTACGACTTCTTCTCTTGTGTTTGCCTTCTATTTTCATCAAGTTTTTCTCACACACACTCTTCATTCAAACATAACACTTTTTACATCTGAGATGTTTTGCGTTCATATTTTCTAATTGTATTTTCAAAAAAAAAAGCAAAAAAAAGCAAAAACAGAACATTAATCTTTTTCCTCATGACCTGGGTACAGTGATTGTGTAGTCTATTGTACCTTTTGGGAAACAATACTGTATATCCTTGCCTTTGACAGTCTTAACTATCTTTCCCCTCTGGAGAACTTGACAGATACCCTTAGAACACAATGAGTATGTTAAAAAAAAATATATACATAAAGTAATATTTTGCAAAATGTATCATTCCAATAAACTTTTACTTGTTAAGACTAATATGTCTGGGGGTTATGTCTATTATAGTCTTTCCTCACCATGCATACTGACACTCTTAACAGTAATGTTTTTAACATGCAAGTCTCCAGGAAAGGTGCAGCTTCAGGCTGCTCTCGTGGATCAGAGGAACACACTTGTTGGTAGGTGAGGGGGGTGGACGCTGTATGTTAACCCTCATGTCTGTTATTGCAAATGTTTCAAGAGGTTGGCAGCTGCAATTGAATAATGCAGCGTTGTGTCCGTCCTGTCACAGTACAGGATCAATTACCAGCCAGCTTTTCAGCAGCCCGCTCCAAAATGTATTCCCACCCTCAGTTTGCTCCTTTTTTTTAATATTTTGTTTTTAGGATTGCATTCATCTGCATCAGTTATATGTGAAGAGCCTTCCAGATGGGTTGAAAGCAATAAAGACCGAGTAAAAGAGCTTGTAATTTATACATCCATCAAAGAACATCATCCACTAAAGAATGAGAAGTGATGAAAGTAATTCAATAACTGACAATTGGACAATAATGACGCATTGAAAAGGCTACAAATGAGTAAATCAATCCACGAAAGATGCAATAAACTACAGGTATACATCTACAAAATACATTAAGACAAGTACTTAAACATGCTGATTTATCAGTATATCTATAAATGTATATGAACTAAAGTAATCTAACCGTTGACAGCATGAGAAAACTAATTTTCATACAGAATAGCTGTATGTCCATGAAACCTATCAGAATAAAATGTGTTGCGGGAGCAGCAGGTTCCAGTTCAGTGTTTTATTTAATTAGTTTACCTTTTTGTTAATTGGAAAAGGGTAAATCGGATTTTAATTACAATTTGGAAAAAAATGAAATCACTGTTTTATGGATTCATGAAAGTACGTTTTATTTTGCCTACTGTTATTAAAGTGTTGGCTTTCATGAACACACGTGTCCTTGTCTACTTAATTATTTCATAGTCAAAGCTGATCTCTGACATTGAGCCCTACATTCCCAGCTGAGCCTCTGGTTCTTTAAATCGAGCATGTGGACCACACGTGAACTGGCTTCAGTTACTCCATCAAAAGCTGTGTCACACTCTCAAACTCTTGAAATAAATGGCCACCTTTTTTTCACCCATTATGATGCACATGGGGCCCGAGTGCGCGCGCACACGTTCCCGTTCAGGACTGCAGATTCCACCTTAAAACCTCCTCGCGAGTTAAACTTTTCGCCGCAACTCCGTCGGTCCACCTTAAGCGCACACGCAAACGCAGGAGGCGTACAGCGAGGTTTCCGCTTCTCGGTTGGACTCGGACCGCGGCTCACGAAAAACAACCGTGCACAAGGTTGACGCACCAAGGTAAAGAAAAAAAAAAGCGAGAAGAAAAAGCGAACCAACCGAGCAAAGAAAGATGTCTGAATCCAAGTACCGCGAGTGGATCCTGGACACTATCGACTCGCTGCGGTCGCGAAAAGCTCGGCCGGACTTAGAGAGGATTTGCCGAATGGTCCGGAGGCGACACGGGTCCGAGCCGGACCGAACCTGCGCAGAACTGGAGAAACTGATCCAGGAGCAAACCGTGCTAAAAGTTAATTACAAGGGCTCTATTTCATACCGAAACGCCGCCAAGGTTCAGCGGAGAAGCAGAAAAAAGGACGATGTAACGTTAACCAGAGAAGGAGCTGCGAGAAGGAGCGCGGTGGAAGAAGCCAGTCATTCCGACTTGAGCAACGGGGACAGCGCGTTCGGTCCTGTGGACCAGGACGAGGAGGATCTAGAGGTACGTGGGGGGGTTTGATGCGAAGAGGCATGTTTAACGAGCCCACTCTCATCTCATTGTCATAGCACATCTTATCAAATGAACAGGTGGAGGTAAAAGGCATGGACGCTGTAAAAAAACACAGAAAAACACGTATTTGTGTCGCTACACGGGGAGTGGTGAGGGGAGTGATTTGCAAGTGCACCCTAAACTGCCGCAGACGGGGAGCGGCGGTTGGACCTCGCTCGAGCGCTGCCGAGGTGGAGACGAGAAGAAAAAAAAAAAAAAAAAAAAAAGGTGCGCGTTTAGTCGGAGTGTGGTATATTTAACATAGTGCCGGTTGGAAAAAGCACTTCAAACCGCACAGATAGAAGACAGGAAAAAAGTTGCACCGTCCCGCCCGTCCGCAACAAACCGAGCCACCATTATCGGCAGCAGAAAGCGCTTTTCGAGCCCCAAAGTCGGCGTTGAGCGAAGGGGAGGAGGACTCTGTCAAGTTAGCAAGATAAGGGGCGAAGTAGCCCGGAAGTTGAACAATTTTGCTTTCAAAATAAGAGCGTGTAAATACGCATTTGCCGTTGAGGGTTTTATTTTGGAAGCCTGAGCTGGAAATTGATGTTTTCTTTCTCACCGGCTTGTACATGTGGGAGTGGGTGAAGGGGGGAAAAAGTCTCAAACACCGCGGATGTAGTAGCCTGATGGGGGACGCTGGGACATTGTTGACGAGACCATCGCAGGCTAAACACTGCGTCTCCGGATCGAGTCTTCACATACACATTATGTCCGCCCATGACGACATCTCACCCCTTCCGTCTGCACTTTAACATATGCCCATCACTATGTTTTAGCAACACATTATAGTAGTACCGGAGCCAAAGTACTCGTAATAAAAGATACATTCAAGTCCAATTGTGAAAACTACGTCTATATTTCGAGTGATGGACGATTGCCGACGCAGTGCATAAAAGTCGAACCCCTAGATCCATTGTCGGACACGCAGCCGAGCAGCCCGGTCACGTCTAATGCTTGGTGGTGGTGGTGTGGCCTCTCGTCCCATAACAGCGATATGGCATCACTTCTCCGTGCTGGGGCAACTATTTGTTATTTAAGATGAGCCACGTCACTGCAAAGTTACGAGATATGTAAAGAGCCGAACTAACGTGAAGCGACCGCAAAACTGTCCGTCCAGCGCTAGCTGGTGGATGCCCGATCTATCCGATTTGGGTTAAGCCGAGATCAAATCTACTTTTGTCCTCTGAAAGGCGTGTGTGTCGCTACAAAAAAAACAACCGAATACGTTTGATTACTTTGAAACATGCAGTTTCTCGGGGCGTGTTACCCTGATTTTTTTTACTTGAATATGAGGGGGTTAGATGTAGACAGTGACGTGTCCGATAACGGACTCATTTGCGTTACTCTCTCTCTGTGTTTCGGTGGCTCGCGCTGTAAATCTTTGACCCGGTGCAAAGTCAAAGTAGACCGGTGAACGAGGCGCCTGATGCTCGCTGCGGTCGTTGATCTGCCCGTCGAGTTAAAGCTCGGGTTTTTCTTTTTTCTTTCCTCTGGTTCTGCTCCGTCGAAAGACTACAGACACAATGGCGAGGTCTTTGCCGCGGCTCGTAACTCCATGCGCACTTTAGAGGGAATTTCAGGAAAACCTCAAACGCCTCCCATCGGCCCCCTTCTGTACTCCCCCCCGTGCGTTTAGAAATATCAATCAAGAAAGGCCTGCAAAGAGCGGGACGCCGCGAGCACGTCGGCTGTTTTTCACGTGCGCCGAGAGGAAAACAAATCGTGCAGGATTTTGAGCTCCTCGGGGTCATTCGTGGTGTTTTCTCGTGACCGTGTCTCGGTGAAACTTGTGTGTGAAATGCAGCGCGATGAGCGAATGCCGTACAAGCGGCTCTCTTTTTCTCTCAGGAGCGGGGCGGGCTTTAGTGCGCTCTTGTGCTTCACTGCTGGGTCTGAGACACGCAGTCGCACACACAAGGTACATTTTTTTTCGCTCGGGGCGCCGTCGACAACGGACAACTACTTGTATGCCGCCACATAACGTCGCGTTCACATGTTTGATTGCGTGGGAAAGGCGGCTGTTCGGTCGAAGCGGTCCAGCATGCGGTGTGAACGCGCGGCACCGTGGAAAAGGGACAAAGCATTGAAAGGCAATAATTTACCACCACAGCGGTCACATTGCGACATCTGTACGAGCGTGCTTTCATGTGACACGCTCAGCCCACAACTGGCGGTCAGTCATGAAGACAACCCCCCGTGAAACATTGTAGGATTCACCAGCTTTATAAGTTGTCTAAAAATGAACTTAATAGTTGATAATGGCAGAGCGTCCACTGAGTGAAATGCGTCTGTTCCACCCCCCTCAAGATAATTGTCCCCACTGATCCAAGCCAAGATTAGGAAATGCTCAGATTTTTCTAAATATTATATAATTTGTTGGGGATTACAGTTATAGAAAACGATGGGATTGAAATTCTCTGTTGCACCTAGGCGGACACCTCGATGGTGATCGACACAGACAGTAATGCAGACGAGGAAGGGGCTGATGAGAGCCGGGACGGGCAGGACGGACCCTCTCCTGGCCGCACGTACGAAGACGCCGCCGTGCGCTGTGCCTCTGTGCGAGCCGCCTCGGCCCCCTGCTCCCCCTCTGGCACTCGGCACGGCCCCGGCTGTGGCCCCGGCTCCGGTCTGGACTGTGCCACGTTCCAGAAGGTTGGTGAGAGGCCCAGCTCCTTGCCCCCCTCCAGCCCCAGAGCCCTCACACACAATGACTGGCCCTATCACTCTGCTGTCTGCCCAGTGGAGCGCCAGCACCCTGGAATGCAGAGAGACAAAGGTATTCATCCTGCTAGACACAGACTAATATGCACACCCAGCATTAATGGAGGACTCAAATATTGTTGCATGGTTGTTGTGACAGGAGAAATGCATCCATCGGCTTATTTCTACAGGTCACTCAGGTTCAATGAGCAGTTAAAAAACACACACATTCAAGAATGTTCAGCTGCAGTAGGTTGTGATTAGCACGAGAGTTTGCCAAGAATAAAGTCAGGTGTGACAGTAAGGATTATATCAGCATGTCATGTAAATGGTTCCCTCTCTGTTAGCGGCAGCCATGAAGCCAGCAATCCACTCTGCAGCTACCAGCCCCTGCACTTTAAAGAACCGGGTGAAGAAAGAAGATGGAGGCAAGATGGTGGATAGCAGCCTTCTGTCTGACCAGTTGGTACCAGACTATGCTGCAGGCCCGGTAAATTCACCTGTAATCCCTTTTGTGACACATGTGCACCTGTACGTCTCCTGCTTCCTTGATCTCTCTGCTTCACACCTGATTTGTTTCATTTTTGTGTTCTGTGTTGTTTTGGGCAACAGGACGAGAGCAAGAATGTATCTGAAGGACGACCACAGGGACTGCCTTTGCCATCGGACAACTGTGAGTAGCAGGAGTGTCTTTCTTTTGCTTTTAAAGCTGCTCTGAGAGCAAATTCATCACGATAGTCCGCTCTCTCGTTTTGGGAAAACACACGCATGTTAAAGGAGTTAAGTCATGACAGCTTATGTTTCACATACCGTTCTGTTTACACTTTTGGCCTATTTCACTTGTGTTTGCCTTCAGGCTAGCTCAAGCATTTTAAATGCTTCACAGGCTTGTCCCACTACCTGTCAATCCAGGTGATGCTCACTTTGCTCTAAACATGCTGTCCTTCTGAAATACGGACCATGTGACCGTGTAATAAGCATACAGCTGCAGAGGGCTTCGAAAAGCTGTCATACAAATGTCTTTAAATAGCTGTTTGGGAAATAACGTGTGCTTACAGATGCTTCTTAATAATTCAGAAAAGGGTTTATATTATATGTTATATATGTGTTTGTAAGCCAGGCGATGTGACAATTATTTTTGTATGTAAGTAACAAGGGATAGTATTCCCAACCACCACCTTTTGGCTTGATTCCCAAAAGAGAAACCGAGTTTAATTATTTGTTAAAAAATGTGCCTTTCTGGCTTTTAATGCAAGAGTGGTTATAGATATTCCCTCCTTAGTGAGACATTGCCAAGAGACCTTTAAAAACAATAACTAACATTGGCCATAACATAAATACACTTAAATGTGTTTTAACACTGCAAAAGTGCCACAGTGTACTTTATATGGGAATGGTTTGGCTGGAAGGAGCAGCACTCGCCTATAAATGAGGGCTTCGTCACTGTCATGCATGAAGACAGTCCGGTGCCAGCATCTTGTGACAGTGGGCTGGTAACTGCACAGCAAGGGTGCTGTACCAACACCCATCAACTGCACCCTCACTGTGCTCAACCGTGAACAAACTCTAATGGGGAAACATACTGTACCGTGGCAGTAGAGGCCTCGGTGGGGCGTACCAGTACCGTGGAAAGAGCATCGCTTCCATGTGACGCTGCACATTTAAAACCCTATTGTTAACTGCATTTATACGGAGTTTCATTTCGTTGCCTGTTTCACAGCTCATATGGCAAGCAATAAGATACATGATGGCTTTTGATGTGTTATTAACAAGTGCAGATGATTTAGAGGAAAATGTCGTCTATTAAATCAGTGTTTCGTTGGGTCAACATTTGTAGAACATTTGTAATAATGTCGCTTCCATTTTGTTCACAGGTACATTGAAGAACAACGTAGATATTTCCTCCTTCACAGCAGACGAAGACAGTCTTCTGAACGGCGATAAAGGGGATGAAGTGTGAGTATCCTGTTATTAAAAATGACATTCTCTGCTAGAAATACATTCACGCTAATTCCTAAAGTCATGTCCTCTCCCTCCCTCCCCTTGATACACTGTTGACTTTTATTTCCCAGTTATTGTCTTGAATCTTTATTTACACATTTCTGAGGCACAAACACTGAAGGTCACCTAAAGGCTTGAAAAAATAGAACAAAGAAAAGTCACTCTGTCGCCTCTCACTCCTTTCTATCCGATGTTCCTCCAGCTCTGTGAAGAAGGAGACGATGAGCCAGAACTTAATGCTGTGGACTGTGGCAGATGTGGCCAGTTACTTCTCAGCTGCAGGCTTTCCAGAGCAGGCCGTGGCTTTCCGAACACAGGTCAGTGCACCGCCTCTAAACTGCCACAGGAGGCGCTATATGTACACTGAAAACCAACACTTGTACCGTCGCCCACTGCATGTTTAGAGGCAGTCAATATTAACCGGGTTCGTAAGGTCGTGAAAAACCTGGAAAAGTCATGGATTTGAAAATAGCATTTTGGGGAATTTGCTTCTCAATTACCTGTGTAATAAAGTACATGTTGTTTTAGCTAAAATAGATATTGGTTAACCAATACTTTCATGTTCATGCAGATCACTTAACTTTACGTTGTTTTCTGCGTGGGGTAGTTCAATTAAAAATGACATTCATTAGTTCCATCAAAAGATGTTGAGCCCTGTGAGTGACGCTAGCTCTTCTCCCCAACAGGAAATAGATGGGAAGTCCCTCCTCCTGATGCAGCGGAGCGACGTGTTGACCGGTTTGTCTATCCGACTCGGCCCCGCCCTCAAAATCTATGAGCGCCACGTGAAGGTGCTTCAGAGGACCCACTTCCTGGAATACGAAGACCTCTGAAGTGGTGATTCACATGACAGACAGACAATGCTGCATTGACCCCCCCCCCCCCCCCCCCTCCAAACCCCGCCCCCCCCCTTCAAAAACAAGAATAGAGGGGGGGGGGGGGGGGGGTGGGGGGGAAACCTGCGGTGGAATTAACTTTCACTGTGAGAATGACCAGAAACTGGGAAAAAAACAGTCATCCTACCTCTCATCGTGGTTTTCATTTCATCCATGTGTTGTTCGATTGAACCGCCAAAGGACCAGACCGGTACGTTCAGAGGATCGTTCTAAGCGGAGGAGCAGTGACCTTTCTGCAAGAGTGGAATATGGATAATTCAGCCATCGAAAGGAGGACCGAGCCCCGCACCAAGTGGACCACCTAGGAGCTAGTTTACCCACAGAGACCCGCTGCACTGCGTAGTGCTGCCAGCAAAGTGTTCTCACAGTTTTTGGGGTCCATCAGAAAATGTTGGTTTTGGCCGTGGCTCTAAAAATGTCTCCCTGCATCCTCGCTCGCTCAATTACGGTACCTTCTGTTAGTCCAGAACCTCTTTATGTAAATCACACAGATGAACATAAAGCCCATCTGTTGTTAGTTTTCCTTCTATTCCGTTTAATTAAATGTCATCAAAGTGCTGAGGAAGTCAGACATTCTGCATATCTGACTCCGGACATATGCCACCAAAAGCTGCTGATGTTTGATTATGTCTTCAGTGGTCTCTGTAACACAGACCACCGATATGATGTCCTGCTACCCGCTGGTAAGGCAATATGATGTTTTCTTTATTCTAATCTTATTTAGATCCGACTGTGGTCCAACTTAACGCAGTTGCATTCTGGGGAACAATTGCAGATAGACCTGACCAAGAAAATGTGTAGCCTAATGGGATTTGCTTTCATACATAAGCAAAATAAAGTAATACACTTTGGGAAACGTTATTGTGATACTGAATATTTTGTTTTAAATTTAATACAGCTGCTCAGTGTCTGAGCAGATATTTTGATCAAATGCAATATTTAATGTTATCGTCCGTTCATCATTTGTCCGGTGTCTCTTTTTAATGTAAGCCTCTTGAATTGTAACATTCCATATGATGTAGTCTACAACCATCCAATGTATCTCCCTTTTATCTGTAATATTGACACTTCTTCCAGAGTCACAAATAAAGCTCATGTCTCTCTGTTCAGTCACTTATTTTCTGTTTATTTAACTTGTGTTAATAACTTAAAAACAATTGTTTCAGCGGGTCAGGGTGTGAGGGCCCCTCTTCAGTCCTATAATCAAATATTGTAAACAAACTTCACTTCAGGTCAAAGTCCCGCTCGCCACTGAATGCTCTCCTCACACAAAAATTGTAGCAGGACATTTTGTTAAATAAAATAAAACTGATTTAATTTAAAGGTTCAGTCGATGCAGCGTTCTGTGAAATGCACATTCAGTGAAAAAGGAATAGCAAAGAATGTTGCATGTGTATTTCCTATAACCTTATCCAACCCTGGAAAGCACAACTCTACAAAGTTTCAGTCTGTGTTTGTATCTGCACAACTCTTCAGATTAGTACACAAATAAAATCAACACTGACAATGCACAAAAACGTGCTAAATATGTAACACTATGCGGATGGTTTGATCACTGACACTTGTTCTTTTTCGCTTTTTGCACCATAATCATCTTGTGAAAGTAAGAGGTATTTCTTTGTAGGACATGTACGCGCGTATGCTGTCTGCAGTGTGTTTTTCCTATTCTATAACTACACTTTTGATCCATGTACAGACAAAAAGAAAAGATTTTTCCTCACCCTTGGTAGGACTCGGCAGACAATTTGTAATCCAGAAAGCACTATCACGGCTGTAGTGTAAATGTCACTTGGATCGGTAGAGCCCTGCATGAGGCCACACAGTTGTCAGCTCCAGGCTGCACACTAGCTTGACAATGCAGATTAGCCTCTTGGTTGCACAGCTCTGTGGGGAACCACTGATCAGGTTGCCAAAAGCTATGAAAATTATGTGATTTAAAAAAACAACTAAACGGCACTAATGCAACAGTAAAGCAAAAATAAATAGTTGCATATGTATTTTTCAAAAGTGGCAAAATATACATACAACATTACATTAAGACTTTGCTGTATTTAACTCTGATCGCTTCCTCCGCCTCTTCACAGTCCTGCATTCACCAGTCCAACAATCCTTGCTATGGAGTTTCATGTAACACAAATGCTACATGGAGACCATACCACCAAAAATCCATCCATGCTGTTGACCTCAGCACACACTTTCTGACATCCAGTGTGGAATAGGCCCTTAAAGAAAGACCTGGTCAGCGAGGGGGATGGATGTGGGTGTCACACGTTGTTTTCTCTACCAGGCTCTACAGGATGAAGGGGAGTATGGAGGAGCGCAGGGTCGGATAATCTCTGAACTCCTTTGAGTAGCTGCCGTGTTTGCCTTTGGCCCACACAGTCATCTGGATGAAGGCCACGAGAGTGAAGAAAGCCACGGGCACACACTGCGTCATCATTGTGAAGCCGATCCAGGAGCCCACCTGTGAGCAGGAAGTTTACATTCATACACACATACACACACACACACACACACAAACAAACACAGTGCATTGAGATTTATGTGACACGTGCAGAACGCAACCAGTAGATGGCAGCAAGAGTGCATCTCACGTTGCAACGATGAAACACAGGTACTGTTCACTGCTACTGTGTTGCACAAACATGCACACAACATTCAGCCTTCAGTATTTCGGTGTTAAAATGTGGGCTGTTACTTGCTACAAAACAATAACCAAACTGATAAGAGACAAACACCCCTTGAAAGACATAATCTTCTTACAAACGGATTCGTATTCATAAAGGAGTAGAAAACTGAGAAAACATATAATTTAACATTAAAAGATAGGTTCACAATTTGTCTTGTCTGTCTTAGGACAATAGGCAGGGGCCCATTTGAACAAGTGACTATCTACCAAAGTTACATTATTTTCAGTATAACATTTCCTTTTTGTGTTTTCCAGACAGTATCTCGAGAAAGAGTGGACTTGCGTATCTGCTTACCTCATATGTGTAGTTCGGACAAGACACCAGCCAAAACATCCACGTGAAGGGATTTTTTGTTGGGTAAGGAATCTTCTTGGTTTTTGAACCTGAGATGATGGGTAAAAACAATTAAAGCACTTTATTGCCCGTACTGTTGGCTGCTTTTTTTTTTTTTAATTAGACAGCTAACACCATATGCCTTGTTGGAAAATTCTCACCTGGTGGTTTGAGGTTACGAAGAGCAACATGGATGGAAAAATTCCCAACTTGACAGAACTGCGGGAATAAAGACATCCAAAGATGATCATCTACATAACAATAGATTGTTCGATTTAATGTCTGGAAGATTCCTTCACGGCGCCATACATATACAGATCTCTTACCAAGAAAATGTAAAGTCCTGTGTTCACCTGCATCTGCCCGTAATCTGTCGATGTGTCACAGGAAAAAAGGGATTAAGATGAAAGTCAACCACAACTGATGAGTTAAAGTGAGAATTGCAGTGGTCTGCACTTACAGGGTGTGGTATACAGAGGGTGGTTAATGTAGTACGCCATCCAAGCTGCAGTGCACCAGTAATAGCCACAGTTCTGAAATAGAAAGAGGGACTATAATAAGTCACACTGTCAAGATAAGGCTCCACGCGCATTTCCGAGAATGAGAACACGGCACAAAATAATAATGCACCGTATATCATATTCAAAGATCAAAGTTATGCAGCTCTCTCACCTTAAATATGTTTTTGAGAGGCATGGTCCCGTGGGAGATGCGATGGACGAACAGTGTCTCCAGGATCCTCTTGATGTAGTGAAAGGAGTGACATATGCAGGCCAAGCTGCAACAGGACACACACACACACTTGCATATTTAGCTGTGATTAATGCAGCGCCTCGCTGCAGTCCATTATGCTTGGCCCTGAGTCAGTGTCACCATAGAAATATGCTTCACTAGTGTTTGCAATGTTGAAGGGGCCATCTGTGCAAAGCATTGCAACAGATCCCCGAAAACATAGGAAAGCCGACACTCACTGTACGACCCAGTGCTTGCTGCTGGTGAAGTCATATTTCGGAGAGTAGATGAAGGGAAGGTGGAAGTAGAACATTAAGTAGATGATCAGTGGGCCTACACACTCTGCCAGGAACACCTGAAGTGGGCAAAGAAAAGACAGAAATGCTTTCGTTTGAGTTTTTCCATGGTTTGCAACCAGATGCATGAGAAGAAGTGCAAAAATATGCAAAAAGGCAGAACAACACAAAAGTCATGAATGAATACATGAACAGCATTACAATTAACATCTCTAATGCTAAACTCCTCTCATAGAAAATACACAAACCAGTGGAAATAGAATATTTCCTTGCTGTTAGATAAGCACTTTGTCAGTCTAAACCAGGGGTCTCAAACTCAAGGCCCGCGGGCCGAATCCGGCCCGCCACGTCATTTTATGTGGCCCACGAATCCGCCAGCAAAAAAAAAAAAAAAAAGTTAAAAAAATAATAATACCCTTGACAGGATTTTAAGCTTTGAACAAAGTTATTGTAATAACTTGTTTGATATTTGTCTTTGATATTTTCTTTAACAGTTTGATCTTTGATAGAGTAATGTGGGTTTCTTAACCCTAAATTAAAAGGATTTACGTTATAATAACAGAAATGTGCTTAAATATATTTTTACATTTATATAACTGCATGTACAATATTTTTACACTTGAATAAACAATAATCAAATGCAGAGACAGTTATTTACCAATATGTTAGGCAGTAGTTACATTTACAACCGGCCCTTTGAGGCGACCGTGATGCTGATGTGGCCCAGAGTGAAAATGAGTTTGAGACCCCTGGTCTAAACCCTCCGCCAAAGGGAGAGCATGCAACTGACACCATGGCTCTGTCTTCTCTAATAACCCACTTGTCAAGTCCATCTTAAAACAAAAAAACAGTCCATAGTTCTACAATCATTCAAGTGTAACAATAATGGAGCAAATGAGACACTAAGGCAGCTTGTAACACCAGCTTTCCACAAATGATCAAGCGCAGCAGCACAGCTGACAGTGAAATCGATGCCTGAATCAGCACCTCCAGCAGAGCCCTGGCTCAGTCCGCACGCCTGACCAATGGCTACTGGTGATCTCTGCTGGGGCACTTCATGCTCCTGCACCCACAGGGGCATCGGTCTGCAGCCTGGCAGGGTGCAGGGGGGTTGTAACAGGGTTGGTTAGGACAGGGAATGTAGAGACTTGGTGGGCAAGAGTGAGTAAAGAGGCCCAGTTAAAGGCGAGTGGGAGGTCAGGGGGATAAACACCTTTGGGAGAAATGGGGCTGTGAGATTATATGTCCTAGGACAGAAGACAGGCGGTGCAGGAGGTGAGCGAAAAAAAACGAACCGCAGGAAATCACCTCTATCTGTCACTGTGGGTTGATATTTATATTCATGAGTTATTGAGTGGGTGAGAGAGTGGGTGTTTATATTTAATGTACAAGAATCTTAAAAGGCCATAGCAGAGGTGTTGCATGTTTCAGCCTATTAAATCCAAATGGTGAACAATTTGTAGACTATTAGGCAGAGCAAGCCTCTTTCACCGACAGTCAGTTGGGAAAAACAACGCTGCATCCATGAGACACACACACACACGCAAAATACAATCCAGAAGACAAGCATGCAAAGTTAGACTTGAAAGGAACCGTGTGAATTAAATCAATTCTTGCATTCAAAGGGTGGCTGTTCAGAGGATAAGATCTTGAATGCTGGAGCATCCTTGAAATTAGGAACAGGCAGATTATTTCAAACCATACTCAAAAGTGAATTACCACTTTTTTTTTTAATCACGAGATACCAAAGAAAGGTGTAAAGTGGGAATCAGTCTTAAAACAAGTTGTATAGTAGGTTAAAAAACGTGCGTGACTTAAAAAAGGCAAACATCTCTGTATGGTCCTGAATATTGTGGGTCCGTGCAGGTGTGGACTCACCGTTCCCCACGTGAGCTGGGGTCCTAGATCCCTGAAGTAAAAGCTGGCTGTGGTCCCCACAGGAAGTGTCTGCAGAATTTCTTCATCCTTGAGACACTTTGCCTCTAAATAACACGACAGCCGAGATAAGACCAGACAACATCACGTAACTTCGTCACAACACCTATCAAATAATATAAATGCAGTATTTGTTGTAAAAAAAAAAAAAGCAGACGCACTTGGATCCAAACGCAGGGATTGTCTGGCTGGATACCACTTTGGATCTGTCGAAACGGAGAGGAACTTTACTCTGGGCATGCTCGAGAGATTATCTTTGAAGCATTAACATTGGAATAAATGGTAAATGAAAATGTAGTTGTCTTAAACTTACTTACATGATTTCTGAAATAAAGCTTTGATATCCAAAACAGTGGCCGTTGGTTCCACCTGCAATCACAATACAGACATAACCCTTACTTTAAATAGTATTATTATCAGCAGCATTAGTCTGCAGGCTGCCATGTCGACATTTAAAAGTCAATTTACAAGACATGGAATACTAAAAATACAAAAGTCAGATCTGTACTACTGTCTTTACTGCAGAAGTTTTTCATTTCTTTTGGAATTTTGTCACACTTGCATTTTTGCCATTTTCACCAGCAATGTGATCCCTCACGTTTTTTGACACGGCTCTGCACATTTGTACAGCTACTAATGTAGCCCGCTTGCCTGTTGGCCCAGTGCAGCACAGGCCTGTTCTGTAGCTGGAGCAGAAAAGTCCTGTCAGATGAAGAGTGAACTCTCACCTCCTAAGTACAACCCCTCGCTCAACCGAAACGTAACTGATAATGGCTGCACACTTGACAGGGCCGACTGTGAAGTAGACGAACATGTGTAAAATTACCCCGGCAGCTCACACTGATGACCCCCGTAGTTCTTGAGCTAAAACAAACATGTTTCCTCTGACTTTTCCTGCAAAGTGATCACAGCGTCGGCCTGTGCTACTTTCAGAACAGGCATGAGATGTTTAAATTACGGAACTTTAAAAAGGAACGCACTGGGAGGCGATAAACTGAACTAATTGATCATAAAATCTATGGCATGCGAGATATCAAGCACTCTTTGTGCCTTTTTTGTCTTCAGCACTTAAACATGTGTGACCATCATGCACCAGTTAAAACAAGTATCATCAGTCTTCTAAAATCATTATGCTCAATATAAAAGGCGAGTGTAATCAGAAACCCTCCATCGTCCAAACTCTCACCTTATCCAGCAGCAGCAGTTTCTCTTTAGTCTTTAAGTCCACGATCTCCACCTCAAAGTAAACAATCCTTTTGGCCTTTTTGGGAGGTTTTGGTTTTGGCCTCGATGAAGACTTCTTCTCAGAATCTGCTCCATTCACACTCTTTGCCTCTAAAGCGAGTACATCCATGATACTGTTTAATCCCCAACCTCAGCGGCCTGCTGAAGTAATCTGGGATATGTCCAATCACACTGGTTGTCCTCTGCTGGTCTGGGAAACAACTCCCTGCTCCCCCTTTACACAACTGTCAGTCCAACTGTCAGTCTTCTTTGGTGCCTTTTGGACTCTCTGAATAGCTCTCCACCTCCGGAAGAAGCATGTGAGACCATAAACACGTTCCCCCCCCCCAGATGGACTGTCTGTGTGTGACAGAGTGGAGACAAGCGAGAGGGGAAGATACTGAGAAGAAGTGGAAGGAGTGCTGGTCCAAGAACATGAAATGAACCTGCTCCTCACCTGAATAGCAGCCTCTTCATGATCCACAGCCCCCCTTCATGCTACAAAACGCACTGAAGACGAAACCGGAGAGCCCCAAGACATAATCCATAATGCGCCATTTGCAAGGCTAAATATAAGTCGCCTGATTTGCTCTGCACCAGCTTGGTAACCTTGGGCAGCCACACACAGCCCAGTGACAGATGCCAATGCGCTCTCATTAGACCTATAAGACACGTCTCCTGTCTGCTCTGCTCCTCGCTTTGTCACACAGTGGACGAGCCCCCATTAAAAGCCTAAAACCATGGGGTGAAAGACAACACTTCCCCCTCCCCCAGACCACCTGTGTGGCTGATATTCTTTTCTCTGTCTGACCTCCATGACAAAGACGGACCGGTTTATTTCAAGGCCTGTCCGGTTCAAGGTTTTGCGAGCCGAATGAACAGCATTGTTTTCTAAAATACTTCAAGGAGGTTCGTGGTGGGAGGAGGGCAAAGGAAAAGCTGATTGGGAGAAGATCAAAGATGGCTTTCGTCGCACGTACCCAACTGTATATCTATATTCTGTGGTCTATTTAAAACCAGCAGGAGCAGTCCAAGCCAGCAGCAGGCAGCCATATCACTGTTTGCATTCCAAGACCGTTTTTGAGTATCATATGAGAAAAACCCCCTGTGATAAACATAATTCATTTTCACACCGATGAACAGAAAGACAGCAGTGTATATGTGGTGAGAAAAATCCATCTCAAATATATGCTGAACTGGATCCACTTCTTTTTCACAGGCGGCAACACTTGACTATGACGTGAGAGGAATGCTGTGACGTGGGAGTCCTCAATGTCACTCATTTTTACTCTCTAGTCACATTCTTCAAACCACAGCCTTATTCCTAGTGTAATTGAAGATTTGACATGACAGGAAGAGATCAGTGTAATCTAAGAAGTTTTGGATGTAGGTCTTTGAATTCACCATCTTCGGATTCTATCTCAAAATTTGATTTGGGAATATATTTTTTTAAAGTTGCGTCTGCAGCTGGTGGACACAGTAACAGCAAGGCTTGTACATTATAGACACACGTGTCCTAGAAAAGAGGGGCCTACCTCTGTGAGGAAAGCTTTTGATTTTTACATATGCACATTTTAGAGTCCGTAGTTCTGATATATAAGAAAATAATTGATGCCAACCGGCCAAACCCTCCAGCACTTGCACACGTCCTGAGTCAGAAAACAGGCCGCGTTAATCATTACAGACCCCACACAGTCACTCTTGACATGATTTATTTCAACTTGCCCCCTCTGGTAGGCGCTACAGAGCACTTTACAACCAGTACAACCAGTGAACAACTTTTGGCAGTCTCTTTCCACAAACCAACACACCCACGAACAGTTAATTTAGCCACCTGTGCAATAACCCTACACCAAACCACTCCACTGCAGTCACAAATTATTTATACGCACTGATATTGACATGTACATGAAATCTGAGCAGATTGTGTATTCTTCTTCAACATTTTCACATGAACTATACCTCTGTACATATGAACTGTTGCATTAGCCATACAATATTTATTCCAGCATACCTTGCACTGCGATGCACTCTTACAAAAATATACATATATATACATATAATATAGCGCAAATTATTCCACAAACGTGCACATACAGTTCACAGTCTTTGTAGAAGGTAAATACTATGTGGTCATTGTCCATTGATGTAGCATATGTGATATTTTTATGTTTAAGTTTGCTCATTTTTGTTAAGCACGTGTTTTCTACATTTCTTCCAGTGTCCGTCTTCTTGTCACTCTGTATGTGTACTGAGAGCCACTGGAAACAAGAGTCAAATTACTTGTATGTGTCAACATATACGCAGTTGCGAGAGCTGTTTTGTCCAGGGGTGGTTAAATAAAATAACAATATAACTAACCTTCATTAATGTAAGTACAAAAGTATTAGCCTCAAAAAAAAGTAATAGTATAAGTATTTATTATGCATTATGGCCCATTTCAGGAGCATATATATTATATTACTGGATTATAATTAGTGAAGCATTATTGTGTACTTCACTTTAATGTCCCAGCTGGTAAAGGCAGAGCTAATTGTCACTACTGCTGGGCAACTTGACCTATTAATAATATATTGTAATTGATTTATATTTTCTATCAATAACTTAAATCTACAAAGTAGAAGTATAAAGTAGCATAAAATACAATTACTCAAATAAAGAGGGCCTACCTCTGAATTGTACTTAAGTACAGTACTTGAGTAAATGTAGGCATACTCAGTTACATTCCACTATGATTACTACTGATGTCAGCCTAGAGTATATAATGTGAAGCCTGACGTGTGGACAGCCTAAACCGCAAGAACGACAGCACCTGCGCATGCGTACTAATATGAAAATAGTACTAAAAGGGTCGATGGTTGATGCAAAAAGCAAATTTATAGCAGCAATCCAAACAGGACCATGTTTACCCCCGATGCACTGTGTGTTTCAGATAGTGTCAGTCTTTTAATTTAAAGACAAATCTGGCCACTTCTTGACCACTACTGCACTACTTTTGGTTCAACCTATACCGGAAGTTGTTAGCAGTGAGTCCTCTTGACTCGGTAGTTGTGACACACAGCAGCAGCTCCTTCCAGAAGTTTCTTCGTACGGATTTTCAGCTCGGGGGCGACACACGACCACTCGAGTATGAACTCGTCGTTGTATGTTGTGCAGCTTAAGTTAAATTACGTTTTAGTTCCTCATCTCAGAGAACAGTAGGAAGTTGTCTACGGACGGTGACAAGTGAGGGAAGCTAACCTTGACAGTTAGCTAGCTAGCTAGCTAGCTATCTATCGTCCGCATCAGCGACAGCTGCGGTGGATCCCGCTCGCTGGACCCACACACTGGACATGCTGGATGTGTTGTTGGCTTCTGCGATGACTGTGTCTTTATAAAGTGGAAGAGGAAGAAGTGACCGGTTCTTGACATGGGTAAAGATTACTACAAAGTGCTAGGAATAGCCAAAGGTGCCTCCGAAGAAGAGGTAAAAAAGGCGTACAGAAAGCAGGCCTTGCGCTTTCATCCCGACAAAAACAAGTCTCCCGGAGCAGAAGATAAATTCAAAGAGATCGCCGAAGCCTACGATGTCCTCAGTGACACCAAGAAGAAGGACATCTATGATCGCTTCGGAGAAGAAGGTAACGTTGACTGAACTCTCCGCACCGCGTGCATGTGTAGTTTGTGCCACTATAGTTACTTTTTCACACAACTTGTGACGTTACAATCTTTAGCAAACCATGCATTTGCACTTTGAGTCTTGATGTTAGATGCTGATGCATCCTCCTAATCGGTCATTGCTGTTTTTAGCATATTTCTACACTAATAACAATGAGATGTGTGTGTCACGTCACAATAGGTGTCGCCGGAGAACCTACTGGAAACTACGGGTTGCCTGTCCTGTTTGTCTGTCGCCGGAATGATAATGCTGGTTTAAACCTCTCAAAAATGTACTTATTTGTGCCTTAAGGCTGCAATGTTACTGTTCACATTATTATGGGCAAAGACGGAGACAGACATGTGACTTTTTTGGCGCTGAAAAACAAAAACACTGACTATATCTATACACTTTCATTGCTTGCAGCATGAGATCATTACTAGTCTTGCAACTCGTAAATATTTTCATCATCGCATTTTTGTGGGGATCAATCGTTTACGGTAAAAATTAAACACAGTCAGGCACATTAATATAAGTATCTGTAAAGTTACAACTTGAAACCAGCAACATTTTGGGTATTTTTTTACTTGACTGATTAACAAACGGATCACTGTCGACTCATTTAAACACTTACAGTTTCATTCAATCTTTTTATAAGAGAATTGTGAAACAATGCAATGTGCAATTTCTTGTTACTGATGTGCATCCAGGTTGTATTTGATTCTGTGCTCTGATGCTTGCTGTAGGATTGAAGGGTTCAGCCGGCGGTGGAGGTGGAGGTGGAGGACACAGCGGCCAAAGCTACAACTACACCTTCCATGGAGACCCTCACGCGATGTTTGCGGAGTTCTTCGGTGGCCGCAGCCCTTTCGATCATTTCTTTGCACAAAACGGCGAGGAAAACATGGACATCAACGATCCCTTTGCGCCGTTTGGCATGGGGAGAATGGGCGGCATGGGAGGCATGGGAGGCATGGGCGGCATGGGAGGCATGGGCGGGTTTCCCAGGTCCTTTAAATCGCACCCAGGAGTTCCTCACAGAGCGCGTGAGAGGAAGAAGGATCCGCCCGTGATGCATGAGCTGAAGGTGAGCCTGGAGGAGGTTTTCTCAGGATGCACCAAAAAGATGAAGATCTCCCGCAAGAGACTGAACCCGGATGGCTGCACCATACGCAACGAAGACAAGATTCTAACGGTCGACATCAAGCGCGGCTGGAAGGAGGGGACGAAGATCACCTTCCCCAAGGAGGGCGATGAAACCGCCAGCAACATTCCTGCAGACGTGGTGTTTGTGGTTAAAGATAAACCCCACCCGGTGTTCAGAAGAGAGGGCTCGGATATCATCTATCCTGCAAAAATATCACTCAGAGAAGTAAGTGACCACTGTGATATTACTCGGACGTTAATTTTTCTGCTTGTTCCAATAATACTTTGAGAAAAGATGGTGTTGATCATCCATTCTCTCTCTCCAGGCGTTGTGTGGATGCACAGTCAACGCCCCGACACTAGACGGCCGCACCATCACTGTGACCTCCAGAGACGTTGTCAGACCTGGAATGAAAAAGCGAATTTCGGGAGAAGGGCTCCCCATATCCAAGTGCCCCGAGAAGAGGGGCGACATGGTCCTGGACTTCACCGTGAAATTTCCTGACAAACTGGGCCAAGGCACACGAGATGCACTCAAGCAGATCCTTCCACCGTGACGTGAAATGATAAGTTTGCCTCGAAAATAATCTGTTAAAGGAACGGTGTGTAGCATTTTAGGGGGGATCTAGATGGGGCCACTCGGTCGGTTGCAATCTGCATCCTCACCGCTAGATCCCGCCAAATCCTACACACTTCGCCTTCAACGCTTCCAGCGGCGCACTCTTCTGTGCGACTCTTCTGGATGATTGAGGCTCAGGGCACATTTGGTTCCAGCTGAGTTTAATTTTACCTTCTGAACACCAAATCGCTTTTTCTTACCCAACATCTAGTCAGTTGGATGACTTGGAAACTGAGTGAGTACCAGTGTTGAGTAGCACCCTGCTAGAATATCAGATTGAAGGAGGAAAAGTAGATAGTTAAACATATGAAGTGTGTATATAGATAATGATGCGTGAGAGCCAGAGTTTTTGTTAGGTTCTCTTAGAAATGTAATATAGTAACTGGGGATTTGTTTTTCGCAGCAGTTTTTTTTTTTTTTGGGAGAGCTTTAAGAGAGCACGCAGCCAGCTAACAATACCTCAGGTGCAGTGACGCATGCTTGATTGTAGTTTTTACGACATCACTCAACAGGACGTGATTATTCTTCTACAGTGTAGATCCTGAGAGGTGAAGCAGATCAGTATCAGCCAGAAGGAGCTGATCAACGTTAAATCTACTTTCCTTGTCAGTGTTTCATTTGTCTACTCTTAGTCACAGCTTTCTGCCACAATCTCATAAACTGACCAGAAGAATATCGTTGCAAATATGCACAAGCCTAAAAATGACAACGTCTCCAGTTATAATTCAGAGGAAATATTAAGTTACCATTATGTGACTTTCCGTAAGAATGATTCCTGTGACTTCCAGATTATTAATTTAGGAAGAGAGCACTGATAAGTACTTTGTATCGTTAATTATTTAATTGAGGGGACACATTCAGATTGGTTTATCCCTGATGTGTTTGAGACGGCACACCTTGCAAAATGTTTACTTTTACGACACATTTTTATCTGAGAGTACACAGCTTACTACGTGTAAATAAACTGTGGGAAGACTTTCTGTGCCAAATAATTGTCCCTATATAATAATATATATGTATGTTGAGAGCATGAGTGTATCCTGTTGTGTGTGTGTGTGTGTGTGTGTGTCTCTTACAAACTACCAAAAGCTATTTACTGCAATCGTACCCTTTTCAGGGTGCTTGATGTACAATTAGTGTATATTCCAATTCATTATTATTATTATGTCTGTTTGACTGCTTGAAGCCAGTACATTGTTTTCTTTGCCCAACATGGTATATGGCAATATTGCATAGAAAGTTTAACGGCCTACAGAATATATTTTTGTTTATTTTGTCGTATAGCTCTTACCTGACACAACTACAGCATCTGGCAATGTGTAGTTCCACAGTTCATAAGAATCCTAAAAAGTATATTGAACTCATATTCATATTCAGCTTTGTGCACCTTTTGACCGTAGTGATGATAGAAGCTTGTGGGTCAGTTAGTTCATTTTCACATTTTAAGTATTTTTAGGTTTTTGACTGCTCCTGCTGGAGTTTTAATTGTGTAACATGTGGTTTAACATGAAATGTAGAGATGTGTAATCTCTGTAATGTGTAACATTTTCTTGTTTAAAAAAAAAAAAAAGAAAAAGAAGATGCGTTTCTTTTTTTTCATGCAAACTTTTTCCTTTTTAAGGGAGAAGGGTGTAAAGTATTATCTTGTTTCACTTCCTGTTTATGTTTGGAAATGCCTCAGGTTGGATTTCAAGATGTTTTCATTTTTAACAACGAAGCTTTTACGAATATGACATTTTTAATAGATTCTTCCTATGCTGTGATGATTTGCATTTCCACATTAAAGAGACTGGCAAATATCTACCCGATCATGTCCGACGTGTTTGAGTTATTCAGGACATTTATCTTGTAAAAGTTTTTTTTATTTTCTGAAATTTAGGTTACGCTTAAATGTGAGATTCAAAGTTAAATTAAGGTCTAACTGTCGCATGCAACAAAATCCATTTACTGTAGTGTAAGCTCAACATTTATCATTATATA